TTGTTTTAGAATTGAACTTCGCTTATAACCTACCTATGTGTCATTATTTCCTGTCTATACCTAATCTGTGCCTCTAATAATTACTCTATTAAATGAGCTGTCATTGAGACATAAGCAGCGTCTCTCTTCACAGCTTTCTGATAAAAGCACCGTCCTACTCTAAAGCTCTAGAGCTTTCTATTAATGCGATTCTTAGAATGTACAATAGCTATGCGGCATAAACGAATTTATAGTCGTCTTGATATGACGTTTTAATTGAATCTAAATGTAATACTTATTTTATAATAATGCATTGTTTTTGGCACACATCCATTCAATAATGTGTTTGAAAGGTTAATTCAATTAGAGTTCTAATTACGTATGTGATATAATGTCCTGTGCCTACAATTTACTAAGGACTTGTATATTAAATTTATGCGTTATTGTTTGGTAACTATAGTTTTTTTATGTAACAGGAACACCTGATGTTAAGTGATATATGGATACTCTCAATGCCAGAGGGCTTACAAGTGCATTGCCGGCATTTTAATAATTGGTACAGTCTTTTCTTAAAGGCTCGCTCAAACGCTCAGTTGTGGATCGCCAGACGTCAAGGTGATACGGATGGTATATTGTATTATTCAACGTCCGATTATGAAACTCAGCTGCAGGTATTAGTCCGAACAACTCCTCTGAACACTCTCCATGGTGAATGCGGTAGAAGATGCAGAGAGACTCCACATCTCTACGCATCGCTAAGGGATTAAGCCGCTGGTCGTCGACGATTCGAATCGTTCTTCGTTAAATACGGTAAAATATTGTATTTTGGATAATTGTTATTGAAACCTTCTATACTAGGTCCATTATTTAGTATTGATTTTTAATGGGTAATATTTCGATTGATCGTGAGCGCTCTAGACTTCTTAATAGTATACCTTTGGAAGGAATGTATGCAAAATTATTAAATTGTACCTTATGCAAAATTTATAAAGTGCAAGTGTGTTACAGTATTTTTTGAATTTCGAACGAGCTTTGGTACCGTTTGAACTGTACAAAAAAAGAGATTCGCCTATGCAAGAACTGATATGAATTCATAATAACTAAAAATTAAATATAATAACTAAAAATAATAAGGAAAAACACTTTTTGTATCACAATCAAGGTTTATAATAATTTACCAAAAACATTTAAAGATCTTCCAACTAGAGTTTTTAAAAAACGATTTTATACGAGTATATGTGCATATTGCGTCTGGCGAAGTCAGTCCTTATGGTCTGACCGACGACAATATCCCTAATTATTTTTAGGTACAGCCTATTATCAAACGGGAGTGCTCTGCGTGTTTTAAAAATTATTAGATTAGATTTAAGTTTGACGTTCTAGACGTAAGTCTACATCTCTATATATATAAAAAAGTTTGTTGGTTTGTGTACGCTTCAAAAACTCAAAAATTTCTGCATCGATCGATGAAATTTTAGCATGATTATATAATCCGCATCAAGGATTGTTTTTATCTATTTTTTTCCACAAGTAAATAATTGCCAAATTAAACTTATATGAAATGTATTCTTTGTTTTGTTTCTCATTTCTCAACCATTCAATCACAATGTGCCACAATGAAGCGTGGCAGGGTATAGCTAGTAACATATATATATCTTACAAATAATAAATGTATAGAACAAGCCACATTGACTTCTATTCTCGTATAGTAATGAACATAAACATTTGTCAAGTAGTGATAAATTTGATTTTCATATAAGATAATAATATAATGTATTACATATATGATTTATATGCTCGTGTTGTCATATATTTGTATCTTTGGCACAGCGTCTGTCTATTATTCGTGAGGCGTTGTCATTCGCTTTGTTCTAGCTGTGTACTTGGACTAACACATATTGATATTTAAGCTAATAAAGCTATTTTAGCTTATAAAAGTTAGGTGACTGGATATAAAATATGTAGTACTTGAGACAGTATAAGATGTATTTATTTTATTATAGAATAATGTATGTTCACAGTTATTAATGTAGGTATTTCAATAGATTATAGTGTAAAAAATGGATTTTATATTTATTTCGTAATGTTACAGCTAACATAAATCATTTAACTGAGTAATATACCAAAGATGGAATATATATATACAAAAAGGTAACATTTACGAAAACAAAAAATTATTAAATACATTTAAATTCCTAATTCGACTGTGTTGTGCGATGCTGTGGAAGTAAATGTGCACGTGAGGGTATCTGGGGTGTGCTAATGATGCAGGTGATTTAATTATATTTCTTACTCCTTTTGAGCATATTCCGCGATCATACCATAATAAATACCTATTGATAATGGTTAGGTATAAAAACTTCGATACAAATTTAGACGTTACAAAGCTCAATATCCGCTGAGCCAACAATAGTTTTATCGAACGCATAATAGTTATGAATTATTGTGATTCTATTCTCAGAGTGCTCTCTTAAGAATGGACACTGCTCTCGCGGTCCATTTGTGTTTTGAGCTATGGCTGCTGTGTACGCATTTAGAATTCTTGTAACTTAGGGAGATGGGTTTAGCGCAAAGGGTTTTTCGTATTTTGAAATTGGAATCACAATTCTATTGACAATGTCATTGCTTACGGAAGGATTTTGAATACTTGTTCTCTAGACCTTGAAAAAAATAAATAATTATTTCTGCATAAAATTTGAAGTATGTACCTATATTTAAATTTGTATTATTATTGTTACTTGTCTTTTAATAATAACAGGTATGGGCTGATCAATTTAAAAAGCACTGTTTAGCAAAAAATTACAAGTAAAATCTAACATTGGAAGTGTAATATTTTTTTATTTAATTTTTGGCAATATTTATGTTCACCATAATTGTCTGTAGTCTATACTGTAGATATATAATTATATATGATATGGTGAACTTTTTACATAATATTTTTTCAGTTTTATTATTATGATTAATATATATGTATATACTATTGAAAAACCACAAAAATACTGTATTCTGTTTTATTGGGAATACAAAATCACACATAACATTGTAAAATCTGACGCGTAACTTGTTGACAGGCGGTAACTATCAGAGCGCTGTACAAGATAAATATTTGCGCGAACAACCCCTATTATTTGGGGTACATTGTTGATAGGGTTGCCACAAATTTACTTTAAATTAAATTAAGCAATATATATTGTTTATATATTCAGACTAGCGGACTACATAAAATCATCTAATTGTAGATCTCGAATCCACTTGAACAAAAACTTTCATCAAAATCGGTCCGGCCGTTTAGAAGGAGTTTAATAATACACGCACAGAAGATGATTATGTGTATATATATCTTGTCAGATGAACCCTAAATTTTGTTTATACAATAATATGAAAATGTATTTTGTTTGGTACAAAAAACAAAAGAAAATAAGATAAGACATTCAAGCTCACCAGTAATTAAATCTGTAGGTCATGGGTTCGATTCTCAAAAAAAAGGGTTTGGGCGTACAAACAACGTAAAAAAAGTTTACATTTACCTTTAATAAAAATTCAATTTTTAAAACATTACATACCGTAAAATACTGTTGGGTGTTTTTATATTTACACTAAACTGTCAGCCCTAATAACAGTCGACAAGTGAAGCACTTGTTGCTCCCCTAACAATGAATTTATCTCAATTTAATACCGCTACAATGCACCTATCCAACCCGTGATAAATTTGCATACCTGAAACAAACAAATTTATTAATTATTATTGGAAAATAATCTTACTTGTAACCCATCAATACACATAATAATAATAAAAAGCCTATTTATTTCTTTCAAAAGAACAAAGTAAACTTAATCCTATTATATAGGTATATTTTTTAAGAAAATAAATGACACTAATTATTTTTTTTTCATTTCTTTGTATCTATTTCCTAATTATTTTGCTAGAACCCTTCCACAGGTGAAGGTCTCCTCCAAGGATCTCCAGGTGTCTCTGTCATGGGTGAGTTGCATCCAGCTCGAGTCAGCCGTTTTAGCAATGTCATCCGCCCATCACGTGAGCAGTCTTCGGCTGTTTCGTTTCCCAATAGGGCCTCCCCACCGGATATACATAGAAACCCAAAACTTCAAAAGCCAATTCAAATATACTATTTTATTATCCATGTATCACATAAAAATTCTTATAAGTACCTACGAGGCTACTACGTGCAATTTACAAATAAAAGAATTTGAAGGGGCCTTCACTCCGTCTGAGGTCCAACTAATGTTAAATATAAAATGGACTTGTAATCCTGATAATGTGGTACTCGAATACAGGCTATTTTTAAGCTAAAAAATCTTCTAAAAAATAAAATATTCGTTATCAACGGTAACCAAATCACAATACCAGAACAAGTAAAATCAAGAATAAAAATGTTCGCCTCACATGAATCACATTTAGTCTATTATTTCAAAGCGAAACATTTGAAAGTTCATGAAACAAACGCCACGTGTTCGGTTATTATCAATTTATTCCTGAATGAAGCGCACTTCATTGATGCCGGTACAGAAATATCTACTGTATGACTTTTTAGTAAGAACTACAGAGCTACGCATATTTAGACTGGCCATTTTAATTTTAACCACAGATTTGTCTCATACTACTGTCATAATATATATACAATTAAACAACTTGTAAGCACAATTAAAAGGATATACCATCCCCAAGCAGGCGTTTGATTGGAACCCGCAAGGAAGTCTCAAGCAAACCTGGCGTCTTGCAAATGAGGCAAAGAGAGCCGAAAAGACTTGGACCGAGGTGAAAAAGACCGAACGCGATAGAGAGTCACTGTGGACTCTCTCCGCCCCATCGGTTATAGCACATTAAGTCAAGTAAGTAAGTCAAGCACAAATACAATTTTGCCCTTTTTCCTCCTAATCAGTCTTCCCCATATGGTCGTAATACTCACTGCTAAAATATTGATAGTTCATGAAAAGACTTTGAAGCTAATGTGATAATAATATAGTACGTACCTATTCTACTTAACTAGGAAGTAATAAGCATGATTCTGGGAGCATCCAAGACTACAGAGACGAGTATTGAAACAGCAGATAAGGTAGTTCTCGTCGCTGCAGAACAGGAACTCATATACATATATTTAAATAGAACATGGGACGGGTAAACGGGCAGGGCTAACCAGTTGTAACGCAATGCCGCACACGGACACTCAATTCCGGAGGACTAGCGAGTGCGTTGCTGGCCTTTTATGAATTGGTACGCTCTTTTCCTGAATTGGTTATAATTTAACCCTACTACAATATATTAATTAACCCTACCGAAGAGTAAACTTATAATCATTAGTTTGAATGCAAAATATTAAACAAGGGAAATTAATTCTACTGTCTATATATTAATATGTTTTCTCAGACCGGAGATGAGCTACAATGATTATATCCAAGAGCCGTTTCCTATTATTCCCGCAACAACAGGCCAGATACATTGTTCTTACTCATCAACATTGTATTTCCGTCTGTACAGTGTCTTAGTGCAATTAAGACAAGTTGACAATGCTACGGTATTGCTCATAGATAAAACCCAAATCGTAAAGTATGAGATTCGAGCCGTGACGTCATAATTAATTAACAATCAGCTAACTGTCCGTTCTAGAACTGAGCGTTCTTAAAGGCTATTTTACCTTGCACCATGTTGCCCACAGAAGTGTTTCCCAATTGGACTTTGGTTCTTCAAGAAGAGAGCGTACCAATTCTTAAAAGGCTGGCTTTGAGAGTGCCCATGGGCTGCAGTATTACTGAACATTCTCTCGTGTTTCAACAACAACAGTTCATACAATAATATTGTCGTTTAATGATATTACTAGTGAAAACTACTGTATGTAATTAAAGAAATGCTATATTCATATACGGTATCTTATCTTCTTGATTATTTTTGACGGGTTTTACAAAAGCCTTATTTTCCACGATCGACGAGTGGCTTTAGCGTGCGACATTCAGCCCTGAGGTCGTAGGTTCGATTCCTGGCTGTGCACCAATGAATTTTATTTCTATGTGGGCATTTAAACTGGCCTTAGACACATAAAGTCGACGGCGTGTGTCAGGCACAGCAGGTTGATCATCTACTTGCCTGTTAGATTGACAAATTATGAATAAACAGATACAGAAATCTAAGGCTCAGACCTAAAGAGGTTGTAGAGTCACTGATTATTTTTTATTTTTATTTTATAGAACAAATGGTTTAGATAAATAAAACAGTAGTGGAGTAGAGACTCTTGTGCCGTGGGGTTCAAGTGCACAGGCGCTAATTAAAGATTTATGTTGGCGCTTGGTAGATAGTCCCGATGACCCCAGAGCTGGTGCTTTCCTACATTCAACGAATAAGTATCGCAAACAACGGCCCAAACTTTTTAAATTTGGTTTAATTTTTAATTATTATTACTATGTAGCTTAAGAAAATTGTAAAAACTGTTAATTTGTGTGAAAAATAGTCTATAATTTGCCATAATCTTATCCAATAATAGTTACTAAAAAAATCTGTGGCGCTACAAACTCTTTTGGGCTGGGCCTCAGATTTCTAAATCTGTTTCATGATCATTTTGAATCTAATAGGCAATTAGGTGATCAGCCTCCAGTGCCTGACACACGCCGTCGACTTTTTGGGTCTAAGACATGTCGGTTTCCTTTTCCTTTACCGTTCGAGTTAATGTTTAATCCTCACATAGACAGAAAGTCCATTGGTGCACAGCCGGGGATCGAACGTACGACCTCAGGGATGAGGGTCGCTGAAGCCACTAGGCCAACACTGCTTTATAGTGACTAAACAGACAACTTTTATTATTTATTTAACTGCAAAAATAATAAAAAAGCAAAGGCTGAAATTTTAAAAGATCAAAGACGGTGCAATCCCTGAATGGGCTTTGTGCAATTTATATTAATATATATTTGAATATAAATATCCTTCATCAAATAAAACAATTAATACTCCGACCTCATATAAAATGCCCCGTCACATTGTGGAATGGCAGAATTATTTTCACTTACTACTTGGCTTCAAATGCAGCATTGCAAAACGATAACCAGGACTTTTCATTCAGAGAATGTTCTAATAACACGAGACGAATATAGGTGATGCCGATATGTTGGAAAGGGATGAAAGATCCTCTTGGCAATTGTCCACAGGAAACTGGTTGAATAAAAAGACGACGTTGAACTGTACTAAGACATTTCATTCAAAGATCGGTAATCATTCAGGTGTAAGCATCCCAAAACCGAAATATCGATATATTAAGCGTAAACAAATAATAAAACAAACAAAAAATTCCAACATGAATAATTTAGCTAAGTGATTCCAAAAATAATTTTCATTTCTTATCCCTACGAAAAAAAAGCCAACATCACGAGGTGTTCCCAGGCGGTCACCCATCCAAGTACTGACCTCGCCCGACGTTGCTTAACTTTGGTAATCGGATGAGAACCGGTGTATTACAATAGAAAATAGCAAAAAAGTGTCGTTACAACTTTTGGTCTTAATTTTTTCCGTCCTTTCATAACTTCGTTCCAAAAATATATAAATACATTATACACAAAAACTATATATTCTAAGTAGCCACACACAAGAATGAGCAGTATTGGCCTAGTGGTTTGAACGTTCGACTTCATGCCTGGGGTCGTAGTTTCGATGCGTCGTAATGACGACATCATAAGGAAACCGGCACGTCTTAGACCCAAAAAGTGTAAATGTCAGGAAGGTAGATCCCCTATTTGCCTATTAGACATCATCAGAGAACAGATACAGAACTCTGAGGCCCAGACCTAAAAGGCTATACTTGTATGTATAGACACACACACAATCAAAACAAATCCAATAGTGAGAGTTAAAAATCGTTTATAACTTCCAAAGTAAAAATTATCTTTTGTCGCCTTTGTAAGATACAAATAATACTGAAAATATATATATTTAAGGCTTTGTGAATAATAGTTACTATATGTATTAGATTCTTTACATTAACTATTTGAAATTAAACAAATGAATGTTTAAATAAGAATGCTTTACACTAATAAAAGCAGCATAATTAACAGGTCAACAAAACATATTATTAAACTCATAATTTTTAAAACATGAACGTATATTGTTCGTATGTTAGGGGTTCCAACGCCCTCTTTAAACCAATTTAAACGTATAAGATAAGCTATCACATTAGATCCCCCACCGTTTAAATCGTAATCAATCAAGCTTTGTCTATTCAAAGTGTGGATTTTAAATTGAATTTTCGACAATACTGGGATTATCTGATACGTTTCACGGGTTCAGTGGTATGTGTGAATATTTTTTTATTGGATTTGCTTCATATTACACTTAATAAAACAATGCAAAAGTATTTTAAATATCGAGCAATAGGCTTGTGATAAAACAATCTTCCACACTATTTTATTTAGTTCCAGGCTCCATTGCTATTTTAAGTTGTCTAGTTCAACTGTAACAGCTTAGGTTTCCTAGAAAAGCGGTGCCGTTATCCAACGGCCGTTATGTAACGTTGGGTGACGTCACCCATACGTTGTCTATAAATAACATCGGAGTAGGTTTTCTAGAGAATGTCACCGTAACGTCAAATAGTGGTGCTGTTATTTGCATGACGGCCGTCATAGCGGTGATAAACATTAGTTCAACGTTTTTCGCGTGTAGCGGAAAATGATGTATTTTTTTGCATTATGTTAAAAAGTAAAGACGGCCGTTATTAACAACCGTAAAATGACGGCCGTTAGTTAACGACACCGCTTTTCTAGGAAACCTAAGCTTAAAATCAAATCTTTGTTGTATATCCGTATCGTTGACAGGACGCTTCTGTATGTTCCATTTTTCAAGATCACAACTACACTATGCAAAACAAATTTCTGCTGTTTGTATTTTACAGCTATTACTCGCAATTTAATATGCTGTTATATAATTTTTTTATGATTATACAATAAATCTATACGTTTTATATAAGTAATCACGTCTTCAAGTAGTAATTTAGTTCCTCGTTAAAGCAGACGTGCCTGTAACCATGTATGATGCAGGCTAGGTAAACGCCTGTCTAGCTTGAAAAAGGTTTAAAGTCGAAACTTAGCGCTAAGTATGACTTCAGCCCTGCGATTCTGTAACTCACTTTTCGAACTCACACAGCGGTTTTCGCATCGGCGGTCGCTCTCAAATCAGTCTTGAAGCAGTCATTTTATGATTTGGCATTCTGGAAAGGTGGGAGCTTGTAGTTTATTGTTTATTACGACTGATTTGAGAGCGACCGCCGATGTGAAAACCGCTGTGTGAGTTACAGAATCGCAAGGCAGTATCTCAAAAATTGTGGCATTTGGGAGTAATAGTTCCGCTCTAAGTCCAGGACTCCGAATTCCTAGGACATGTCGGATTATTCAAGATCTTTGCCTTATACACAAAAAATGTATTGGTACACTAGTAGCCACTCACTGCCCTTTACAATTATAATACTTGTATAAACTCGTACGCATATTAAATATTAAAATATCATTTCGAAATACCAATTTCAATCCCACCTAAAAGCATCGAACAAAATTCGTAGTAAAATGTTATGAACGCATAAAGAGTCCACAATACGGGCCACTCGCTTCGATTATCTCCCGTGTTTGTTTGTGTTTTATAGCGATACACGTTTTATGGCTTTTCGATATTATTTCGCTTATTTTTTTCTGCTATTGGCTACCGCGCCGCCCTTTTACATAGACGAGTTTGTGTGGATAAGACATTTATTTAAATAAAACAGTATTTTGTTTATATGAAGTTTCGCATTTTTCGATTAAGTAAGTAACTTCTCAGTTGATTTATTTTAATTTACGTCCATCAAATGGGCTGATGGCTGTTGTGTTTATTACGAAGGCCACAGCCGAAGGTTTCAAAAAAACCAAATGTTTTAAACTAATTTATTAAAAATAAAATTACAATTTAAACTATAATTAAAATACGGCTAAACAACCCGAAGTAAGGAAATTGAATGCACTTAAAATATGGAAATAATAAGGCTCGAAGAGGCACCAATTGCTGACACTATGCAACGTGAGGCTCGTGTAACTCGTGTAAGTTGCGACATACGAATTCCGCTGACACCATGTAACGTTAGGGACGTGTTATTCTTTATATATTGCGAAATGTAGATTCTATGGTATAGGGCTACGTAACACCTCCCTCCTAAAATCAGCAACTATTCGAGAACTTTGTGTGAGAGAGTTGCTGATGAAATATGTCCGGGATTCACTTTTACTTGACTGGGGTTTTCAGGAACTTGTTCTTTTTCAGGATGTCCTTTTGTTTCAGGTTTAATTCCCATTCGTCTATATGTCACAATGCCAATTAAAATAATCATTACTATCAATGCTACATATAGAGGTATAGTAGTATGATATAGACTTATATCCTTGTCTTGATTAAGATGTACTGGAGGCTGCATAGACATCTTCGTGTTAAGACTATGAAAGCTGTTGAGGTCTGTAGAGGCCAGGTTTAATGTTGGCTGTTCAATATTCTTGGATTCGATATATTGCGGTATTTCCAATATCTTGACAATGTGACCTTTTATACGATTATTCATATTAGTAATGGTAAATCCTGGTGCCTTGAGGTAACAGTTAAGTGGAATGACTGCTACATAGCTGCCTTGTAGTGTCCTATATTGTTCTTGTCCACAGAATAATTTAACTTTCGTTAAAGTTGGAAAGCTCATTGTATAATGCTTATCATCAAGTTGTTCTAATGCTTCATTTTGTAGGACGACTGAAGTTAAGGGACAGGACTGGTTGAGCTCCTGTTGGGTGATCAGCTGCTGGATACAATCGTATTTATCTTTCTTATAATCTGGTTTTGAGTTGCAGAGAAACCATGAATTTAACTTCGGACATTCTGTCTCTATGTACCTAGAGTCTTTTCCAGAAATTGCCAAATATGGAGAGGTGGGAATAAGGACTTTATGGTTCTTATTTGGGACAACGGCTAATTTATAAAGGTCATAGGTGTAGGATACAATAATTGGGACTTTTATTACAATTACTATTTGCCTGTCTAAATAAAAATATCCTAACTTAATTATTTCATAAAAATTCCTAAATTCTATATCAAGGATTTCATCTTTTGAATATAAAACCCTTAACTTATCTAATATATGCTTAACCTCTTCTAAATCGATTAACGAATAAGGAGTGCTCGATGCACGTATAAACGATAATGTATTTCCTAAGCTAAATAACTCCTCAGATAAATCTTCTATATTATCCGATAGAATAAAGAGATGCTGAGCTAGATGAGCATACTCAATTAAATCAGCTTCTAACTGATTATTTTTATCTAAAATTAATTTTACATATTTATCAATTGATTCTTGATTCAATATAATGTCTTCTATAACTTTGGAACTTTGCGTAATCCACTCTTTATTTAAACTTATTCGGGTATTAATTTCAGACTCTAATGTTGCATCGTTTTCTTGTAACAAATTAATAGCATTTTCATATTTAATTGCATCAGTATAATCTAAATTACCAGATATAGATTTAATTATAGATCCAAGGCCGTTAATGAGTCCCCTTTTACTGCGATGAAATTGAAAAGTACGAAGCTGGTCATGTATTTTCATAAGTTTACCTTTCAAATGTTCTACATGAGGATTAAACATAGATAATGTCTTATTACTTAACTGCGTACTCAAATTGCCAATTTGAACTTCAACTAATTCTATCTGGGATTGTAAATTATCTAAATTTATGTAATTCAAAAAGGAATGATAGTGAGAAATAATCTTAGCGGGTCCTAGTTTGAATGGAAGTAGTCCGGGTCCATTGTCCAATGATTCAATTGTCACATCTTGTCCTTGAGTCTTATGTAGAAGGATGGTCAACAAAATTGGAATCCTGTAACAAGGTGGGATCTTTAGGACTTCGCTTAAGGCGTGACTTTGCAATAGGATTTCGCTTTTTCTTTGTATAAATATGGATAGGAAGGTCAGCAAGGACAGTGTCCTGGGTAAAACGAGGAGCTAATTTTTGTCGGGATGCTAAAGGATTACGAATAAACACTTGCTCGTCAGGACAATATTCTTTTTCAGGCTCACGGTCTTTATTCCTATTTTCAGTTAATTGGGTTCGGTCATGTAAAGAAGTCTCATTTATTAAGTCATATACTTGGTTCATACGTTTCTTGTGATCCTGTGAATATTGCTGGAGTAAATGCTCTGATATGTCGATATCTATTGGGTCACGTGGATCAAAATGTCCAGTTATCAAGTCTAAAGGTCTACACTTAGTGAAACTGTGAATTGAACTATTATAAGCTAAAATTGCATAGGGCATTAGATTAATTGCTGGTTCACTTCGCTTCTCGAGCTTTAGTATTCTAAGATGTTCGAGGATAGTGGAATGAAATCTCTCTACAATACCATTATCATTTGGAGAATGAGCCAATATTTTATGATGTTGAATTTTATGAATTCGAGAAAATTCCGCGAAGATCTGATTTGTGAATTCGGGGCCTCCATCGGTGACAATAGTCAAAGGGACGCCATGATGAGTACAGAATACAAGGAAAGCTTGTACGACACTCAAAGCAGTACTATCTCTTAAGTGATATGCTTGCGAATACTTTGAAAAGGCATCTACTATTGTAAGATATTTTTCGTTTTGCGCTGTAAAAAGATCAAGATGAACTATTTGGAAAGGCCTTGAAGGTGGAGGTACAATTGAAAATCTCTGTTTAATCGGATTTCGGTCATATTTGGCTTGGCCGCAAATACTGCATTCATTTATATATTTCGCGATGCTTTCTTTCATTTTAGGCCAGTAGTATCTTGAAGATAAAGAGAGATAACATTCAGTGATACCGCGGTGATTTGTTTTACCTTCGTGATATTTTTTTATAATTTCCTGCTGTCGTAGGTATTCTTTAACGTTTTCTAATTCAGTCTTTGTTAAAACAAGATTCATAGTCGAACTTTTAAAATTGTCTTGTATAATCGGGATAATCTTATACATTGCAAGAGGGGGATGAATTATAATTCCGGTTTTAACCTTGGGGTTAACATATTCTTTAATTGCGTTAATAACGTCATTGGTCAAGTTAGATTCAGAGAGTTGTACAGTCGTTCTGGTATGAGTTTCGAGAGGTTTTGTCACTGTCGGTCGTTTTTTAATGTCACCTACTAAAACGAAACAAATTTGTCGACTAAATCTATTAAGTGGGTCGTCAGATATAGGTAAGTACTTCTAAAATCGGGTTCTCATCACTGGTATGAATTGTTTCAGTGGCAGAACCAGACTGAGATGGAGGTTTTTCTGATGTATTTACAGCGATGGAACTCACGTCCTCATTATTGATTTCGACGCGAGATAAAGCATCGGCATTGGTATTCATTTTTCCTTGCTTATATTCGGTGGTAAAGTTATATTCGCTTAGTTTTAGCCTCCAACGCGTCAACCTTGAACCTGGTTCTTTAAGATTCATTACCCACTGAAGTGGCCTATGATCTGTTACGATCTTAAATTTTCTACCGAATAGATATGGTCTAAAATATTTAGTAGCCCACACTATTGCTAAAAGCTCCTTTTCAATAGTACTATAATTAATTTCACTCGAATTAAGTGTTCTCGATGCATATGCTATAGGTTTATCACTACCTATAGTCCCTTGAGAAAGTACGGCGCCAATAGCAAAATTAGATGCATCGGTTGTAAGAACAAAATCTTTATTAAAATCAGGATACTGCAAGATAGGATCATTAATTAATAATAATTTACATTTCTCAAAGCAATTAACATAATTAGAATCATTAAAAGTTATTTTAGAACCTTTTTTCAAACACTGCGTCATTGGTTTCGTTATACGAGCGAAATCAGGAATAAATTTTCGATAATAACCTACTAAACCAAGGAAACGTTTTATTTCAGTGGCGGTTTTAGGCAAAGGAAATTTTTGAATAGCTTTTATCTTATCAGAATTAGGCTTAATACCGTCTTTACTTATTATATGCCCTAAATATGAGGTTTCTAGTTTTAAAAATTCGGACTTATCCATTTGTATCTTGAAATTCGATTCTCTTAACCTTTTAAATACTTTTTCTAAATTTACCATGTGTTCCTGCAATGAAACACTAAAAACAATTATATCATCAAGGTACACTAAACACACTACATTTTGAAGATCTCTAAGAACATTATCCATAACCCTCTGAAAAGTTGAAGGGCTAATCTTTAAACCCATGGGCATTCTCAAAAATTCAAAGTGCCCATGTTCTACATTAAAAGTTGTCTTATGGATATCCTGAGGGTCCATTTCGACCTGGTAAAATCCACTGGCCAAATCTAAAGTGGTGAAATAATGACAGTTACCTAATTTATCTAATACATCATTTATATTAGGAATAGGATATTTATCATCAATAGTCTTTTCATTAACTTTCCTAAAATCGATAACAATTCGCCATTTGACTTTGCCAGAAGCATCAGCCTTCTTGGGGACAACCCATATGGGAGAACTCCATGCTGACTGAGAGGGACGGATAATTCCCTGATCGAGCATTTTCGAGATTTGATCTTGAACTTCCTGTCTGTGAACGAAGGGGTATCTGTAGCTTTTGGTATAAACAGGTAATTCATCTGAAGTACGAATACTATGTTTTATCTTATTGGTGAAAGTTAATGGCTCGCCATCAAGATAGAACACGTCAGCGTATCGAGAACAGAGTGACTCTAGATTGGCTCGTTCTTCAGGATTCAGATGGTCTGTACGTAATCGCGAAAGTACTTCGGATGTGCGATCGGTATGTTGTTGAGTGCGCGTGCACTGAGTATTAAATAATTCCGCACTAACTGGTCGGTCCATCGAAAATACTACATCATGTTTAGTCGGGTTGGTAATTTCAATAAAACCTCGGTTGTCCTTTACATTAGTAAGACAGTCATGAATAGTGCAGTTAGATATTGTCTGTTCAGTCACAAATGCGTCACCGTCATGAAAGTTAATTGGAACTCGAATTATTTTAGATGTATTGGCCGGTATTATTTCCTCATAAAGATTACAGTTCCGTGAATCATACATTCGCAGGGGGTTGGTAGAGCTCCGTGTAACTAGGACTTTATTTTTTAAGTCAATGCTAGATTCCAGTTTTTCCAGCAAATCTAGTCCAATTAAGCCATCGAAATAATTGTGAAATTTATAAATGAACAAGGTTATATCACAATCTTCACTAAATTCGCAAAAACATGGTATAGTTATGGAGTAATTATTTCGAGTGGTCGCATGAATATTAGTAACCTCAAAAGGGTCGTAATTACACTGTGTATTGGGATAGAATTTTTCTACTGCCTCGGGGCTTATAAATGATTGATTCGCCCCTGTATCAACCAATAATTTTAAGGGTGGATTTGTTATCTGTATGTACGGAAGTTGTCTTTGAGTTTGTAAATTTATTTCTATTTTTGCTTGTCTGATTTGTATGTTGTCTGAAAATCCTGATTTGAAGTTGAACTCTCTTGTGTCTCTTCAACACTAGGAGGTGAGTATTCGTTAACGTCTTGATACTCTGTCATGTCATAAACTGGCTCAGAATAGTAATGTTCCTGGTAATATGGGTCATAGTAATAGTCGTTATAGGAATAATAGTCATAGTCATATTGGTCTTGGACCTCATTAAAATTTACATCCTTAAATTTGAAATAGTTTGAAGGTGGTGGGTTCCCATGTCTTGACCAATCATGCCCGGTAAAGACGGGTTTAGGTGGAGAGGTCTTACTGACATAGTGACTAACGCCACTCATCGGTTGAGGACCATTATTAACCGGTTTCTGTTGAGGCACTCTAAATACATTACTTTGTGGACGGTAATTTGGTGGAGGAGCACCAAACATCTGTTGTGTTCTAGAAGGGCCACGATTTAAAGGCAATTGAGGCTTCCAAACGGCCATAGGCATAGGCATAGGCCTATTAGGTTGTGGGTTTAAAAATCTAGAGGGACCTGGATTAAAATTAGGCATAAAATTAAAATTACGTTGAGCATTGGTCATATTATGTTGATTATTACCGTTATTATTTAATTTTCTATCAGGACAGTTTTGATTACGCTGCTGAATGTATAAGGTATTTTGTTCCTCATGTACAAATTCGAGGGCTTGTTCTATTGATTCGGGTCGCATACATCGAATTCGAGACCCAAGTGGATCACGAAGGCCACGCAAGTATGCTTGTAAAGTTAACTTTTTATATAATGCTCTTTTGGCCTCGATTGTACTCTGTACCGAATCATGCAAACTAACATAAGTCATTATTATACTGAAAAGATTTTGGCAACGCTCATAAAACTCTTGAGGTGTCCCTGAATCTTGACTTATAAGAGATAAATCATTATAAAGAGAGGTCTCATCCCGGTGGTCTGCAAAATTATTAATTAAAGAATTACGTATACTGATCCAATTTTCAGAAATTCCATTAGAGTTTAGAGTCCGCGCGGCGGGCCCAGTAACCTTATTGAGAATGCCATTAATAAGTGATAAATTGCTTAATTCATAACCCGGTTCCGCTGTAATAAATTTTGCCACCAATTGATCACATAAATTAATGAACCTAGTGAGGACATTCGGGTTTCCATCAAACTCGGGAACTAATCGTAAGGCTTTAAAGATGTTGTCAACTAATTGCTCCGACATATTTCCTGTTAAATTTCTACCTAAATCAAAATCTAAATTTCTACGTATAATACCTAACCTAGGGGTCCGTGATTCTCTAGGATGGAAAATCTTGGTATGGGATTATTAAAAAAAATTATAGGATAATTTGGCAAGTCTAGATAAAAACTAGGTACTCACCACATCTGGTCTCTTTGATAAATCGATGTCTGGATTTCCCTCTGGCTGCAGGCTCTTGTAGGTTTCTGGATTTGCTCGGTCTATGATCGATTCACTGACTCTATGAACAAATCCTACCGACTGCGCCAATTACGAAGGCCACAGCCGAAGGTTTCAAAAAAAACCAAATGTTTTAAACTAATTTATTAAAAATAAAATTACAATTTAAACTATAATTAAAATACGGCTAAACAACCCGAAGTAAGGAAATTGAATGCACTTAAAATATGGAAATAATAAGGCTCGAAGAGGCACCAATTGCTGACACTATGCAACGTGAGGCTCGTGTAACTCGTGTAAGTTGCGACATACGAATTCCGCTGACACCATGTAACGTTAGGGACGTGTTATTCTTTATATATTGCGAAATGTAGATTCTATGGTATAGGGCTACGTAACATGTTTATTTCATTGTTTGTTGAGTATTCGACATGTTTTAATATGGACTCTAGAATCGC